GATGGGTCTGAGGGATCTGATGCTCTTGGGGACACTCAGGGAGCCTGATGGATGGATCTGAGGGATCTGATGTTCTTTGGGACATTCAGGGAGCCTGATGGATGGGTCTGAGGGATCTGATGCTCTTGGGGACACTCAGGGAGCCTGATGGATGGATCTGAGGGATCTGATGCTCTTTGGGACACTCAGGGAGCCTGATGGATGGGTCTGATGGATCTGATGCTCTTTGGGATACTCAGGGAGCCTGATGGATGGATCTGAGGGATCTGATGCTTTTGGGACACTCAGGGAGCCTGATGGATGGATCTGGGGGATCTGATGGTTTTGGGACACTCAGGGAGCCTGATGGATGGATCTGAGGGATCTGATGCTTTTGGGACACTCAGGGAGCCTGATGGATGGGTCTGAGGGATCTGATGCTCTTGGGGACACTCAGGGAGCCTGATGGATGGATCTGATGCTCTTGGGGACACTCAGGGAGCCTGATGGATGGATCTGAGGGATCTGATGCTTTTGGGGACACTCAGGGAGCCTGATGGATGGGTCTGATGCTCTTGGGGACACTCAGGGAGCCTGTGTGCTGCAGGAGGGTGCCTGCAGTCCCTGAGTGGCACAGCCAGGATGGGCAATGCTGCTCACAGCACCCAGAGAGGCCACTCAGGGATGGCTTCTCTACTGCCCAGTGATGCTGGACCAAGGAAATTTTTATGGGAGAGGCAACAGTTTATTTTACCACTTTCATTTCTGTCAAGATTACTAAGGGTCTCTGCTACAGTACTGTCAAAAATCATTCTTTGCCTGGTTGCTTTAGGAACAGGGAGAATTTCCTGAGCAATCTTCTTGTCCTTGCCTAAATGCCCACAAGCAAAGTACGTGAAAGACACACTGCAAGTCAGGAGTTAAAGTGAAGACCAAGGTTTCCTGTGGTATCATATTCAGCCCACCTTCACATGGACCCCTGGGGGCTGGCCATTTGCTGAGGGCTTAATTTCTGTCAGAAAATCAGGATTGTCTCTGAGCAGCATCTCTGAGATGAGCTGGACTGTGCAGCCCAGCCTGTGTGCTCAGAGTGCCAAGCATCACTGCTGAACACAGACTGCTTTGGGCCAGCTCTGAGGAAAAGATAAAAACTGGGGTGAAAACAGCAGAAAGGAGCCTAAGTCTGGAGTGGAGAGAACAAAGACTTCACACCTGGGTAACACAGTCTGGAGAAACATAGACAGTATTTCCATCCCAGCCCTCTTCTCCAAATATAAAAATAAAACCTGTTACGTGACTGAGGTAAAGAGAAACTTCCCATTTTGCTGGACAGAGCAGAGACAGGAGAGGTGTATTGGGGGCACACCAATAATTCATATTTACCCTGGAAAGAGAGCAAGCTATGCAGAACTCTATGTCAAGGGAGGAAAATTCCAACCAGAAAAGGAGATTTTGAGCCATTTGCAAGACAAATGAATTGAACAAGTGAATGCTGTGGCTCTGTGGTGCTGAGGAAAAGCAAAGAGGAGCTGCCAGGAGGGGTCCAGTCCAAAGTGGCAGGAGGAGCTGGGAAATCCAGTCCAGTGAGAGCTGAAAAGGACAAAATAAACACATGAGGAAGCCCAGGAGGAGAGAGCCGTGAGAAATTAAAATTTAAATAAAACTATCGAAGGTTTAAAATGTTGATTTAAATCCAGCACGTAACCCCATGCATTTGACATTGCTGGTTCAAATAAACACCCAGACTGAGCTCACCATGTCCCCATCAGCACCAGAGGACCCAAAAGTAGGGCTTCCTCTCACTTCAGTGAATGGTGCCTCTGTTTTCCACTAGTGAAAAACAGAGCCTGATTGAAAGATTCCTTTTGCAAAAGCTATCATTATTTTAAATCCTCCCGGGCAAATTGTTTTTGTACACAGTAAACACCGAGTAATAACAATTTACACTGATCCTATAAGAAATACTGAAGGAAAAGGGGTTACTATAACCTGGGAGGGTAATTTTTCTCACAACATCAGAGAGAAGTTATTACTGTAAAAAGGTTTTTAAAGATTCTTGCAACCACAACCTGAAAACTACATCTCTTTACCATTCAAACCCTTCTAAGTTATCATCAAAGATAATGCCACATAAATACTACTTAATCCAGGCATCTGAACTGCCTTCTGCAACATATGCATGATCTTTCCATTTTTATACACAACAAATCTGATAAACAGAGATTATATAAAGAGAAGTCATTGGAGTATTACAGCATGAGCATAGCACAGAATAGTTTCCTTCTTCTCAAGTAATCCCAACAATGAAAAAAAAAAAACCTGGTTTCCTTTAGGAAAAAGAAAATAATTCATATTAAAAGATTCTCTGACTGACCCTACTTTACTTTCTATTCAGTTTTTTAAATGCTTAAGTTTCTAAAAGCTCTGTATCACAAAACAAACCAAATTTCTGCTTTATTTTGTGAGGGGTTTTTTTATTTACTGCCACCATGTCAGTTCTCAACAGCTCTGCCAATCAGAAAAACAAGAATGAGGAAGATAAGGAGGAACAGAAATAGAAATATCTGTTAGGATTAGGAGTAAAAACAAAATGTAAGAAGTATTTAGCACAAAATTATCCCTGAAAACAAAAGTCTTGGATGCCCACCCCTCAGGGAGATGGGCACAGGGAGAAGCAGAGTGTGCAGGTGTTGGTGCTGCAGGCCAGCAAACACAATTCACAGGGCAATAGATAGAGAGAATTTGTGAGAAAAGAGCTGTAAAGACCTATATTCACACTTGGGGAAGTGTGATGATTCAGATGCTGGCAGCCACTTGAAAGACAGTCCTGAAGAACAGCACCAGCTTTCTTGTGAAGGCTTTCTGTCAAAGTTTCAAGTGCTTTGTTTATTCCTCTTAGCAAGTGGATAACCCTGAGAAATACAGGAGCACCACAAATGCATTACTGAATAAATGTCCTAAACAAAAAAATAATTGAAATAATAATCCTGTGGTCCTCTGAATAGCTATCACCTCAATTTCTTGCATGCAATTAAATTAAAACCAAGGAAAGAATGCTGATTATTTGGCTGCAAGATGTAATGCTGCAAGGGCTGGCACAGGAAGAGGTGCTCTGCAAGTCCAACAGGACAAGGAGAGGCACTCTGCTAGTGCAGAGCACAGGGAAAAACCTGGCACTGAGGAGGTGGCACTCACCAGGCACAGGCAGGAGTGGGCAAGGCAAAGCCTCTTGGGTACAAAGTTAGTTCACCAAACTTGCAGAGCTGCCATCACAATTGCTCTCACAGAGGGAGCCCTGTGAGTTTTCTCACAGAAGTTTTCTATTATCTTTCCAGTTTATTTATAACAAAAAATTACCAAAGCCAAGTGAGCGTAGAAATAGTGGGAAATCTCATCAACAGTTGGGCTCAGACATTTGGGACAGGCACCAAAAAGAGCCATGAGTCCTGTGGGGCATCAGGAAGGCAGAAACAGGTCCTGGAAGCCTTGAGGACAAATTTCACCTCATCCTCCCTGGCTTTCTCAAGGAGCTGGAGGAGCTGCCCCCCAGTTCCTGTCAGCAAAGCAGAGCATGAACTCTCCTTGTGAGGTTCATGGGCACTGTCCTGTCAGTGTGAGCCTGCTTGGCTATGTGGGTATTTGCAGGATATTGGATATTTCCAGGAGTGGATATTTCCAGGGAAAGCCACTGCTGGGCTGCTCTGAGAGGCCACCAGCACCCCCATGGCCCCTGCAGGGAGTCCAGCCTAGGCTGGCAGGAAACCCCACTCAGAAGGCACAAACAGCTTCTCCACCACAGAAAACTGTGTTCATCCACCAAGGGACAGAACTTACTGTGTGGCAAGTGTGGCCACCTCAGTGCTGGACACTGGGTCTCAAGGGTTGTGCCTCCACCACCCTCAGGGCACTCAGCAGAGAGCTCAGAGCAATGTCAGGGGGGTCAGAAACTCTATGAGCCAGCTGGACTTCGTGAGAGGACCATGCACTTCTATTTGGAAATGGGATATTGAGTATTAACTGCTCCCTGCTCTCAGCATTGCCATCTGGTGAATAAAGCCCAGGGTTTGCTCTAATTAGCTCTGTCCGTCTGCACAAAGCAGGACCTACAAAATTTCCTCCAGATCCACTTCAACCAAAACATCTGCAAGAGCTGGGTCTGGGAATAAAAGCCTGGACAAGGGGCTTTGCTTGATGCTGTGAAAGATGTGGGTTTCACACATCACACACTTTCAAATCTAAATTCCTCTGGGGCTGCCAGAGCAAGCCTCTGAAGAAAGAGATTTGCACCAATATTGCAAAAGCAGAATCAAGCCCAGGATTTACTCCTCTCTAGCCCAGAGCAGAAATGCTAAAGTACCACTCCACCCCTCCTCCTCCTCCTGGACGAATCTCTACCTCGGGATACACGAAAAATGCCTTCCACAGCTCTACACAATAACAACATTAATAATAATAATAACACTAATTCTTGTCGGGACTGAGCCGTGACGCCTCCCGCAGGCCGGCTGCGCTGCAGTGGGCTCGGAGCGGTGCCGGGCACGGTGGTGGCAGCGGGTGGCAGCTGTCCCTGCCTGCTCCTGCCCATCCTACGGGAGCAGGGCACAGCGAGGCTGGCAGCCTGCAGGTGTCTCCCGGCGGAGGAGGCTGCGGAGCCCCTCGGGAGGATGATGTGCGGTGGCCGAGCAGATGTTCACTCGCCTCTGGGGCTCCTCGGCAGGCAGAGCCGCTCCGCTGCCCTCAGCGCGCTGAAGCTCCGCGGCTGCGAGGGATCGGCCCCGCTGCCGCGCCGGCAGCTGCTCCTCTAACCAACAAAGGCAGGGTTTCAAGTCAAGGGGGAAGAATGGGAGTCTGGCTGCAGAGCTTCCTTCACCGCTTCAGCAGCAGATTGGGAGAAGCTGAGAGTTTTGATGCCTGGACAACTGGATTCTGAATCGTGAGAGGCTTTGAAACCCACCCCCCCCTCCCAAATAAAACAAACCCCTTTGACTTCTTCTCTCAGCAGGAGGGGGAGGGAGGGCGGATTTACCATGAAGACAAATCGAAGATGCAGAGCCCTGCTAGCAGTGAGTCTGAATCTGATGGCTCTCCTCTTCTCTACAACAGCTTTTATCACGACCCACTGGTGTGAGGGCACACAGAGGGTCCCCAAGCCGAGCTGTGGGAAAGAGAAGAAGACAAACTGCCTCAACTACGGCGGGAATGAGACTGCAAATGAGACGAACCAGAATGTGGTTCATTACAGCTGGGAGACGGGAGATGACCGCTTCCTTTTCAGGTATTTCCACACTGGGATCTGGTACTCCTGTGAGGAAAATATCAATGCTGCTGGTAAGTATAAAACAACTTCCTCCCAGCCTGTGCTGCTTTGTGTTCGCCTCGGCGCGATAAGCGAGGGGCAAGCCGTACCTTAGAGCAGAGAGAGGCAGGGGTTTAACAGTTCTTTGTAGAAAAGCAACCTGTTTCCTGCGGGAGCAGGGGGTCGCTTGTTTACCTGCTGGCTGCTGCAGGCTCCGAGCTCTCCAGCCGAGCCAGCCGAGCCCCGGAGCAGCAGCGGTGCCGCCGGGCGGGCACTGCAGCCCCGGGCGGGCAGCGCTCCCGGAGCGCACGGCGCTGCTCCGGCAGCTCCGACTGGCATCCCGCAGCAATCGCCCCCAGGACAGCGGGATGAGCGGCAGGGAGAGCACAGAGGGCACGGGTTTTACCAGCTTTTGCCTGGTTTCTGCTCGCCCTGAAGTGAATGACCGCCCGCCAGCCCTCCCTGGGGTGTGCGGTTATTGAGCAGAGAAATGCAGTTAAAGGGCTCAACTGGGCACAAGAAAGCTCATTTCTGTTCCCTGCTCAGCCATTGACTTGCTGGGAAGCGCTCAAAAAGACATCTCTCCAGCTTATCAGTGCATTCATTTCCTCTGCTGTAGCCTGGCACTTCCTAAGGAATACAACACTGGAGGGTGGATGGCAGGCAGCTGCCCTGGGACCAGTCTGAGGCTCAGCAGATGCAAACTGACAGCCCCTACTCCCAGAGCTGTCTGCTAGAGCTAACATCCACACTCTGCTTTTGAAAGAGCTCTTTTCTAGATTATGTGACTGAAAAATAAAGTTTACAGATGTGACTCAGTAGGAGATGATGGATTGTGGATACTTGTTCCTCACTGGGCTGTTCCCATCCCATCCCTGCCACTGCCCTAGGAGTAGATCAGGGAGTTGGTCCTTCTCTGCTGGGAGACAGGAACAGTTAACCATGGGTGTGTTATGCCTCTGAGAACACAGCCCCTCTGGTAATGGGAAATTTAGGGTAGAATTCTGGTAAAATTGATAGAATTCTCTGTGAGGATGTACTATTAAATGGGGCAAACCTGGGGAAGTGCTCACAGCCTGTTTCATCCCAAGGGGTTGTGTATTCTCCCTGGTGTTTTTGAGGAGAGTACTTGCAGAATTAGTTGCTTATTAAAACTCAATTTAATGTTAAAAAAGGAAAGTTCATGAACTCCAGCCTTGGGACTGCAACGGCTCCAGGCTGAAATGAGAGCACCAAAGCAACACTCTTGATGTTAGAAAGAAAAACACAGGAAAAAAAGCTGATTTGTCTTACTGATTTGGGAATCAGCTTAGGCCACAGCAGCCTGAGTGAGCAGCCTAAGACTCTCTGGCTTTTTGAGCATCTTAGCTGGGGTTGGCATGATCAAGGATGCCCATATTTCTGGCACATACTGAAATCCTTCCAAGTCCAGATTTATGTGTGAGATAAGTTGTAACTGTGTGACTCTAGCCCACTCAGAAAAGTGAGTTATCTGTGGGAGAAGAGAAACACAGAGATCTATTCTGTACTGGGTAAACAAAGCTGTGCTGTAGTGGGTGATTTCAGGAGAGAGATGGAAGCCAGCTTAAAAAAGTTATGGTGAAAGCAGGAGAGAAGGGGCTGCTTCTCCTTCCCCACACCACCACAGCAGCTCAGTGAGTGTTTCCTCTTATCTGAAACTCTTCAGTTATCAGACCAGGTGTGACCAACCTTTGGAAATAACCCAGGCAGGTACAGGGATATACTGGCTTGGACAGACAGCTGCCTCTTTCAGATTTACCATATCTTCTCCTGGGAAGGACAGGAACAATGTAATGGACACGGGTCTAAATTTGTTCCTAATAGTGCCAACATAAAACACCCGACAGCTTTTCACTCAGACTGATGGGTTTGGAATGCCAGACTGTCAGAGTGTTGTCATGGCCTCTTGCAGCCTGACTGATGATCATTTTATCAGAGCTGCAGGGCCCTGAGGCACAGGGCTGTGCTTACACAGGCAGCCCCACTCCAGCTCTCCGTGAGGAATCCACCCCAGAGGCTCATGCCCCACCCTCAGCACACCTGCTGAGCCCAGTCCTGCAGGCATCACAAGTCACACAGTCATGGCTGTGTGTTTAAATTGTAATTAATTGCATTAATACTGTTAAATAGTGGTGAATTCAATTAGTCCAAGTCCCCAGCTCAGATGTACACTGTCAATAGCATCTTTCCTAAAGCTCTACCAGCAGCACTCTGAAGTGACTGCAGCAGCAGCCTTGATCCAGGCAAAGTCCCTTCCCCAGTCACTCCCAGCCTCACACTCTGTCAGCAGAACATATGGCCAGAGCCCATGGGCAGCACCATTCCCACAGCTCCCATGCCATCCCAATTCCTCCCTGACTCACTGATGTCTGAATTTAAGCAATGTGAGAGGAGACCTCATCACAGTCTGCAACTGCCTCATGAGGGGAAAAGGAGGGTCAGGCACTGGTCTCTTCTGTGACAGGATCCAAGGGAATGGCCTCAAGTTGTGTCAGGGCAGGTTTAGGTTGGATATTGGGAAAAGATGCTTCCCCCAGGGGCTGTTTGGGCACTGAATGGGCTGCCCAGGGTACTGGTCCCAGCCCTGAGCCTGCCAGAGCTCCAGGAATGTCTGCACAGCACCCTCAGGCACAGGGTGGGATTGTTGGGGTGTCTGTGCTGGTTTGATGATCCCTGTGGGTCCCCTCCCTCTGTGATTCTGTGCTGGATCCCACCAGGCACAGGTGAATGCCAGGAACTCTCTGTGTGCTCTGTGTGATCGTGGCACTGCCAAAACTCTCCAGAGCCTCCAAACTTCCACACCTCCGAGCCACATTCTTCCTCCAGCCACCAGGCTTTTGATTTCTCTCTCCTCCAGCCACACTGTCAAAACTTCCTGCTCCATGCACTGGTGCAGCTGCAACACAGCAGCTCTTGTAGTGCCAACAGGAGCAGCTCCCAGCAGGCTGATGGGAGCAGCATTCCAGGGCTCCCAGTTGGCTGGAGAGGCTGGGACTCAGTCACACCTTAAAATGACATTTAGGCAACAAGCAAACACATTTGTGAGTGTCTTCTCCTTGCCCCTGTTTATCTGCAATGTGCATTTAGATTCCAGAGGCTGAGGTGCAAGCAGCATGCCATCCACTTTGTGCAGAGCCCAGTGGAGCGTGCCTGCCTCTTGGTGCCAGTTTCTGCTTTCCACTGACAGCTCTAACAGAGATTGAATGCTGTGATTATTTCTGAAATAATTTGTGAATCTAGAGTTTATTTTTATCCAGTATGTCTAGAACAGCTCAAGAATTCAAAAAGCATTTAGTACCTGAGAAATGTAATTGTGAATCCCCTCTGGGAAAAGAGGGACTGGAGCATTTCTATTTCATTGCTGGGGGAGTCCTGTAATTATTTAGCACAATTTCTGACTCAAAAGTGTGCTGAACCCCAGTCTAGCAGAAAGAGGTTCTCCCTTTCAGAGTGGGTTCAGTGCTTTGGGTGCCACACAGGTGGAGGTGCCTTCTGTAGGAGCAACACACCCAACCTCAGAAGGGGCTGAGGAAAAAGCTCTGCAGTCTGAGCTGCTCAGGGTCTGCCCTCCCAGGCTGTACCTGGGGCCTCCTCCTGGGCTGTGAACTCCTTGGCTGGGGCCAGGTGCTTCAGAGCCAAGCTCACCAGCATTTAATTTCTTTTAAAATGTGACTTTGGGCACGTATCTTGTTGCACACACACAGTCTGTGCTTGGGCACCACAACAGTGCTGCACTGACAGCAGCAGTGGTGAACCTGCTGTGGATTCCATGACTCAAGAACACACATGCCATGAAAAAATTAGCACATTAAGTAGGCAAGGTGGCATATCAAATTCTAAAGGAGAGTGTGAGAGTAGGAAGTAGCTTGAGTTGCTGGGAAGCAATGAGAAGTCAGCCAGTTTTGCTCAATTGTGTGTTTGCTTTGATGTTAATAGAAAAACCCATGAACTCAGCCCTTGCTTTAGTTGCCAGTGAAGACAAGCTCAGTATTAACATCCACAGCCAGAGGGGGAAGAGCAGCTGCCCAGCTGCCTTTTAGCAGCACTGCCCCATTAAATAAACAAGGATGCTCACCATGCTCCCCAGAAATCAGGAGAGCAGGAATGGGTATGCATGGCTTGTTTTGTGGGTTTGGATTGAATTTTTTGGAGGGCAAGGGGCCTATAGCCTTTTGTGTGCTCTATGCCACCTAATACTCCTGAAGGAGGAAATGGGAGAGTGGAATTTAGATTGGATGTAAATATCAAAATAGGTCAGAGGTGTGGGCACTGAATGTGCCTTGAGGAGGAGCCAGAGAGGGAGAGGGGTTTCTCCTGCAGAAATGAGTAAATCTGTGCCATAAACACCAGAAATTGCAAGTTGCCCCAGCCTTTCCCAGCTGCACAGTGGGGTTTCTCCTGCAGAAATGAGTAAAAACCAGAAGTTGCCCCAGCCTTTCCCAGCTGCACAGTGGGGTTCCTCCTGCAGCAATGAGTAAAAACCAGAAGTTGCCCCAGCCTTCCCCAGCTGCAGAGTGGGGTTTCTCCTACAGAAATAAGCAAATCTGTGCCATAAACACCAGAAGCTGCCCCAGCCTTTCCCAGAGGTGCTGCAGAACCACTCTGCAGCACCTCTGTCCCCCGCCCCTGTGATAATCACACATCACAGTGATTCACCACAGGTGGCTGCCCAGACAGGGGCTGGGCAGAAGTACCTTGTGAGTGTATAATTAAAAGCAAGAGGACTTGGGAATTCTTGCTGGATTATGAGAAATACAATATAATTGGCATGAGTGAAACCTGGCAGGTTTATTCGCATGACTGGAATGTAAAAATTGCTGGTTCTGAATTGTTAGGAAGGAAAGAGTGGTAAAAGGAATGGAGGAGGTAGATCTCTGTATTAAAGATAAAATTTCCAGTGCTAGAGGAACTGAACCCAGGAGGCTAGGATAATCTCCTTCTGAGGATGTTGAAATAATTGGTACATGAAAATGCAGGGTTAGAAGAATCTGTACATCACTATATTAAAGAA